ATGACAAGTCGTACTTAAATGAATGTTATTGACAAAGATGGCTTCTCGGTATTAGGACTGAGCAAATTTTATCGATCTTGCCTAATATGTATATTCGATATTTTGTTTCCCAAGAGTATCGATTTTTCGTACCGCGAATATCGATACATTAAAGTCCATGTCAAAGTCCCCATGTTCCGCCAGGCACTTCGGGCTCGCTGCGCCGTTTCTCCCCCGTTGTCGCTTTTGCAGGAAGAGCGATTAAGTCAGCCAAGCCGCTAGTGATCGCTGGTAGAGCTTTCTCAACGCAAGTTACCCGTCTAGAATACTCCTTATAACCACATCGAGGCCGAACGTCTTTTCTTCCTGGCCTTAAACTACTCGGCTAAGACGGGTACATTTAAGTTAAAATGTTTAAATTTTGATTCTTAGTGACTTTGAATTATGGACTATGTTATTTGGAGAAAGCAAACTAGATACTATGTTTACATACCTGTGGGCTAGAACTGGCTAACTCGCCCTCCAATTGTTACGAAGTGTCAAGAACTATGTTTCCGAGACAGAGCAGCTTGCTGCAACTTTTTAGTTTTAGAGATTCGACAACGCTTTATTTATTCCCGAGGAACCACTTACGCTGCACACATTTGCAATAACAAACGAGTGACATTGGCGGAATTTTTAATTATCAGGTTGTTAGGTTTATGTAAATCTCAGCTTAACATTTATTAATATCCACATAACCACATAAGTGTCTAACACACTTAAAAAATAAAATTCAAAACAAATATACTAAAATGCAAAACAAAATGCAAAAGCAAGGTTACATGGTAACATAATTAGAATAGAGTAAAAGTTTTGTGACAGTCTCTTCATTGTTCATACTGGCACTTTAATTTAACTTTTCAAAAAGGACATTGTAGCTAACCAAGTTTCATGTTTCAATAAAATGGTAATATAACATCTTCTTCGCTATCATGTCTAGGACTATCTATTTTGAGTCCAGCAAATTTATTTTGCAAGCTGTAAGACTCTACTGGTCCAGTAAAGAGCTTATCATATTGTGTTTAATTTTCAGGTTTTCTAGTTTTCATTTTAATATCAATCCAGTTCAATGGATCCTCAAAACACCAAAGCGACCTGTCAACTCCCCCAAACTATTCACCCCACTGTCCTTTAAAAATTCTTTTCCCAGAATTAACTAATGTAAGTGTAATCCGAATCGTATTGATCGTTAAATTTTATATCTTTTTAACCTAATCGGACCTTTTTTTTCTAAATTTTTTTGTGCAGGTGGCACATTTACATATCGAAAATGTTTAGATATAGTACCTGAAATAAATAGACAAACCATCATCCAACCTAAAACTTGAGGACTAATCCTAATTTAAGTGTAAAAATATATATGTATCCCGTAGGTAAAAACCCTGAAGGATATACGTTGTATAGTATTATATTAACTCCGTTGGACCACTTGTTCAAAAGCAACCTGTCTAGATGTACATTTGGATAGCAACCCATATATACAAGAATTGTTGATTACCATTTCTATTTTTATTTTTACATTACAATAATGATAATTCAATGAAAGTATACTGAAATTATGTTTGGATGTTTAGATGAGAAGGTAGAAGTGTTGTAAGAAGAAGCCTTGTTTGGGTACCAATTTTTTTTATAATCTTTCCAAAATTTACCTGTTTAAATGTCATGAAGTTCTGATATCTTTATCTTACCCATAGGTGGAGGCCCTGACAAACACAGGGAAAAGGAAGGAGCCTGTAATCTATTCCACAATTTTTTAGAGAACTAAGGCCTATTATTATGAGTGAGGAAAATGATCCACTCTGAACTGCAATATTGATACCTGTTCATGATAGCTTAAGTGGAAAATATCCTATCTCATATACTCCTAGCTGCTTTTCATTTCATATAAACTAATTGGGTAATTTCACCATGTCTTCTGTGAAATGTTTTTGACCCCTGAGCATAAACTAGGTTTTTTCTCATTACGACAAAAAAATAGTTGTGTTTCACCCGCTTTATGTTGTCGAGCGCATGTATTTCCAAGGGATCGCTAAGGTTTTTTGCTGGATTTGACTACGAGCCAAGTTAAAACTGCTCTTTATATTGGAAAACCATGTGTGTGGTATGGGTATAGTGTATTTTCATTATTCATCTGTCTTGTATTGTATCATGCATTCGTGTACTTTATTGCATTTATAGGAGACATAGAATCATGGTGCAGCGAGCTTGTTATTATCCTACCCTCATAAATCCCTAATATATGATTAACTATAAAATTGGAGTTAATTATCACCGAAAGGCATAGGATAAGTACACACCTATTACCAAATAAACGCTTGTGCCACGTTGAAATTCATAATAGCGACTCAACTATTATTATAGAGATACTTATAATTTCTACACGTGACAGAATAATAAAGACAACATTTTAAGGCTAACAAACACAACAACAATTAAACCAAATAAGATTATTATATTTACTAATAACGATCACAATGATTGAAGATTAAAAGCCAGGCTCATAGAGAAAGGGTGGGTTATTGATCCAGTTGGGATTCCCAGGTGTAAGGGCTGCCATGGATCATTACGAGGCGCTGGTCGGATTTGTAATATCTCTATATAAAGCCTTCCACTTTAACTATTAATAGTGTAACAATTATTGGCTATCGTTTCCCTTATTTAAGGGTGGTGCCCCGAGGATCTTTAATATTAAAGTCATTTTCTATTATCTTTTGATAATTATAAACTTTGATAACCAAAATTAATTCACTACACTAATACAGTTAAACCACTGCTGTGATTTATCATAGCACCTACACTGCCCTTTGTCTCCATTGGTAATCACATTCGGGTCTGGTCACTACCTTTTGCCTTACTTTCCTTTGACTCTGATGTTAATAATGTAATGTCTGGTGACTGCCTGATCAATGGCTATCTTTTACATACTGTCTAGTGTATTGGTCTAGGGTATAAAAGTGCCTCATTTAATTTGCTCTGGGTCAGCTTACCAACTTAGATCTGCCCTGTGTTCAAGTGCACCAGGATGCCTGCATGCTTTAATAAACTCACACCACCACAGCAAACCTGAACTGGACTTGAATGATTTTTCTTCGACACATACAAACATGGAAGACAGCTGCAATGGAGGTGTTAAAAACTCACAAGTATTTAGGATGACACTTTTGTACAAGACAGATGAAGTTAAAAGTAGCCCTTGTCATCCACTGGCTTTGACTCCACATCCACACACATCTCCGCACAGACCTGATTGCTCTGGCAAAATGAACACATGCATCTATAAAGAAGTATGACAGACCTTCCCTTCTGCATTACGTTGAAGTAAAACCTCAAGCATGATGACCTCTAGTGGTCAGTAATTTCTACAAGACACAGCAGCTGGGTTTGGAAAAAACTGCAGATGTAGTTTAAACCTCACAGCTATATGTTCAGACTGTTGGCAAAAACGACCTAAATCCGATATTTTTCATGTGTGACTCATATATGGTCCCAAATCAGATACAGATAAGATTTTTTACAATGTGACCTCAGTCTGAACAGTCTTATGGCAATTCATGTGACTTTTACATCACTCAGTCAATATTTGTCACAATTCACTGGACTCACTCTGTGGATGGAACATGAAAGATAGCTGCGATGGAGGGAGTCAGTAGAAGGACAGTGAGGTGTTAGACCTCATAAATATTCCGGGAGACAAGACAAGACGGATGTAGTTAAAAGTAGCCCTTGAAATCCTGAGACTCTGGACGAAATCTGTTTCTGTTAAGCCATTCATGTCACAAATCCCACCAGTCCTGGCTCCGACTCCGCATCCACACACATCTCCATTAGTTCTACAAATACTATTTTTTCTCTTTAGTTCAGTTCATCAAATTAAATTACCCAAGGTTACAAACAGTACTAGTACAGAATGTGTGGGATGCTGTTTCTTGTTGTTGTTGTTGTTGTTGACAGGAATGAAATTGCAAATGTAATTCTTGACTATGAAATGGAATGGACAACTAAAATGTAATTACACTTTTCACACAAGAATCTGATATTGGCCACATTTCTTTTTTAAAAGCTTGCAGTATGGACATAGCCTTAACATCCCCATGCTCTATTTGTGTACAAATATATAAATAAAGATAAGATAAATAAATGATAGTTCACAGCATACAACTTTGTACACATTTTGATTTTAAAGCTTTTACTTTTTTATTTCAACTAAATACAAAATGTTCTTGTTCAGAATAAAGAGCCCAAAAAATATTTCTGTGTCCTGTCCTCAACTCAGTATGCACTTCCTGTTATGTGTTGTAAAGCATTGTCCAACTGTGCATTAAAGTACAAAGGGACTCTGCTACACATTTAAATTCTGACAGTGTGCTCATGTTGCTTGTAAGTCAATAAAAATAAGTACTGTTAAATAATAATTTCAAGGTTTTATACTTCAGACTATGCTCAGTGAGCTCTTTTAGTTTAGTTTAAAGGACTGTTACACCCTGAAATTGTCTTTGGGCACAACTGAAACCTAGGAAACTGGAAAGTGCAGCATGAAGTGTTTTTGGCTGACAATTACCTTTGTTGATCATATCTAAAGAATTTTCACAAAATTAACTTCCAAAAGTTCCACCTTTGTGTTGGGGTACTAGCAGCTAGTTGTATACCGTGCTGCAGCTGGGATTGGAGCTGATGAGAGCAGCGAGAGTACCAAAACAGTAAAGTAAAACCAAAACAATGAGCTGAAAGCAGCCAAAATGCTCCGTGGAACTGAGGGGAACTGCTGAGTTGGGTGATACTTCTCTGTGGGTTGTTTAACATTTAGAACCATTGCCTACAGTGTTTAGACCGCAGATTCCATAGCTATGTAATTGTTGAGAAATTGTTACTCAAAAAAAGAACTAAAATAGAATTGAATCAGATACAAAATCTAAATTGTTCAGGACAGACATAGCTGTTACATGGAAAATGAGTTTCACAATATAAAATGACAAACAAAATACAGTACCTAACGTCCTTTAATCGACTTGTTTATACAGTGGATCCTGTGTGTCTGTGTAAATGCATGCCACATTGTATTGTGTATTGAATTTTCAAGCATGTGTGTGTGTGCCATATGTGTGTATATATAAGCTCCACATGTGATAACATTCTCCCATTTCTCTTGGTGGAAATATTTATGCTAAGTCCTCATTTGAGCATGCAGTTCAAACAGACAGGGTCCGGTGTTCTTTCCCATTTTTCCAGTCACAGTCAGCCTCCGGGGGGCCGTCCTATACAAAACGAAGCATTGTGAACGTGGCCTGCCCCTCCCCACTCCCATGCCCCAATATATATGTGTTTATATCATGACCTGATATCCATTTTCCATCACTCACTCTTGTAGCTTGGAGGTATTTATTTTCGGCAGGCAAGGAACAGTTTCAAGGGAGCTGTGATATGTAAATAGTTGTGATCCATCGCAGGTGTCCCATCGCCCACGGAGTCTGATGATGTTTAAAGAGAAGAAGATGAAAAGGAATCAGTCAGTGTAGCAGTGGTCTGTGCACCGGAGTATTTATTGAAGCTAATTTCCACAACTCAAAGGCTCGTATGACAGCAGGATTGTTACTTTAACTCAACTTTCTAACGTAAATATGTTAATAGTCATTCCACACCAGACTGTTTGTGTTAATACTAATGTGATCATTGTGTGACCCCATGCCTATATCATATAAAGCTTAAGATTATCAAAAATATTTCAGTTGTACTAAATAATATGTTTTATATTAATAATGGATCAAATGACATTGAGACCTTGCGTTAAGTTACTATATAAGCCACACAATTGTCAGGCCAGAGACAGATCAGTTTTAATTTTGCTCCATTGCTTGCTAACATGTTCACCATAATCAGCCTTTGCAAGTGGACAAGATGCAATGTTTAGCTTAAATTAAGGTAGCTTAGAGCCAAGTTATTAAAGGCACTCTGGGGAATTCTTATAAACAACGGTATGTTTAGTTATGTTTCTCACCAAGACGCATTGTGTGTATCCTTGAGACCTGTTGAATGCATTTTCATCATCATAAAACATTTGCTAAGCCAAAGTATATAATACTGTAAATCCTGCATTGTTTACATCCATTTTTACACTGGCTAGCAGTCTTCGTCCTCACCTTTGCAGGTGCTTTGCTATATTTCTTGGCCAGCTGCTGGGAACTGATCGGGAAATAGCATGAAACCGGCAGGAATGTGTATTGCATTGCAGAGCATTCACGTGGGTGTATTTGCTGCGCATGCAATACAAACGAAACAGTGCTCTGCTTTTAAAAACATTGCTCAATAGTTTTACCAGTGGCCAAAAACTCCACAGGGTGCTTTTAAGTTTATACATTATTAACCCTTTTGGAAAAGTTCATATATCATCTTAGCTATTTGGAAGTAATAGTGTGTGTGTTGGAGCCATTGACAGTACATACCTTCCAGGTCTGTGAAGTGTTTTAAACCTGCATTCTATGTGATATCCAGCAGGGGGCAGCTCCATTGGCTGCAATAAAGAACGATAAAAATTGCTCTCTGCTAGCACAACCATAAATGACAGAAGAATGTGGTGAACATTTTTCATGGCCACCGTAGTTTCTCCTACAAGATGAAAGCTTTGCTGTATTCATGTGGTTGCAATATGCAACTTCACTAAATTGTATACACTGGTACATTAAATTAAAAAGAAATCATTTTTTGAATAATAGACTCAGGTGTTCAGGCTATATGTTATTAGTTATTGTTAATTTTACAAGTTCTACAATATCTGAACATGATTTTTTGTTAAAGGTGATTCAGAAACAAAGGACATTTTGGCTGTTGGGTTAGTTATTTACTATCCATGCAGACTATGTATGTGCCTTTCTATCACTTCAAGTCACAAGTTCCAATTTGTTGACAAATGCAGATTTATTTATAAATGCAGACCTGTATTTTGGTCATCACCCTCTCTTTAACAAATCACACAGAAAACCCCATGTTGGCTTCCAACACTATATTTTTTGCGCCCATTGTTGATAGAGTTCTGTGCATTTGTAACAAGTACATAGAAGAGAGATGCAACCTCATGATTAACCTTGCGGAGCAGCTGAATTCGCTAGATCACAAAATCAAGTGAGAATCAATCTTGCCAGGCTTTAAGCTACGCCGGTAGCTTGGTGACCACAGTGGTTTGGATTGGACAGCATCCTATGAGGGACTACTGGCAGCTACAGGTGTGTTTTTCAAAAACAACAATGCTGATAGCATCTACGCTGTAGAGCAAAGAACGGCACTGATGGCTTTTCTTGGTGGAAAAGATGTTTTTGTTCTTCTCCCAACCGACTTTGTTGATCTGATTGGTTGAGGTATACGGTGACAGACAGATGGTTCATCCAATCACCCTCCAAGTATTTTTTTAAAGTGCCTGGCCTTTTCCAAACACTTTCCAAGTATGACTTCTGGGGCAGTCAGGTTACCTCACAACAGGAGCATACAGTAGTTTTTACAATGGGATATGTCTACAGTATATTATAGACATGGGCACTGTGGGGGCTAGTCCAATTGGATTTGTACAGGTTATAAAAGAAGATAACACATGATTCTCATAAAGCTCCAGCAACTTTTTTAGACATTAGGCTTAAGGATTACACATACAAGTGCAGATATTGTTGTGGCAACAAAAACATACACTGTCATGGTGAGCAGTGGTGTGTTCAAAAGGGAAATGGTATCATCTGTGGTCAGACAATAGAGGTTTCTCTTCTTGTTGTGGACTTGAGCCATCTTTGAGTTGACTCAGTGGAGAAACTTTGAGATTTTCCAGTTCTGTGTCCTAACTGCCTGTACAAAACCATTTTCACTCAAGTGTTCTCATGAGAGGGAAGCATCTTGCCTCTGAAATGCAGAACACTAACAATAGACTCTTCTCTTGTGGGAGAGAGGCTGTGGGCCATGCTGTCACCCTTAAGTTTGGAGAGCAAAGTCCACGTTGGACCTGGACCGAGGCTTGTTCTGGATGCAACTCGGTGGTTGAAAGCAACAAAATGTCCCACAGGCCTCCCCCGATCCACAGAACTCATTCTTTCCTTAATGCTGTGATTAGAGCATGCTGACTAAATGCCAGCTCTCTCCTCCCTCCAGGTCTGTGCTTAGAAACTACAGCCAAGTCACTGGCAGTAAAATAAAACACAGTCTGTGTTGTTTCACAAACAAGAAGAACACTCTGATAAAAAGAGGTGTTCATTCTTTTAATATTTTTCAGTCAAATTCTTCTAATTCTGTATTCAATAGATCTTTATTTTACATTCTCACATTTAATGAGTTATCTGCCAAATCACGATGTCTGACTGAAGGCCATAGTTTATGTTAGGAAATAAGGATATTCTATTATATCCATTGTTATTTATTTACATTTTTATGTATATATATAGACATATATATATATATATATATATATATATATATCTATGTAAAATAATTTCTATGTATTTTCAATCCCTAATGATGGTGGACCTGCCACAATTGTAACAATTTAATTTTTTTTACCCAACAGAAAATGAACAATGAAAGAATGAGAACCTAAGTCTCTCACCATTACTCCATCTGCCTGGAATGTTATGTGTTAAAAAGCCATCACATTTCACTATTTATAAAGTAGACAGAGCTACCCTGTGGTAGAAAAATGTAGATGAACTTTGTCCAACTTTCAAACCAGAAACAAAAACATTTGTGAAGCTTCTTTTACAGTTTTTTTTCCCTTTCCTCTGAACTATATTGAAAGCAACCGATGATGGTGCTGAGTTGTGGAGAGGCAGGGGGGGACAGAGAACCAGGCAGCAAGAGGGGGGATGGTAGCGACTTGCTTTGGAGGAAATCTGGAACCTATAAACTTGGGCAACTTCTATGACAAGAAGCAACGTCACAACGGTTCAATTTGGTTGGCTGTACGGCATACCTTTGTCTCCGCCTTGTCCCTTTGATCCGACCAATCGCTTAAGATTCTTTCTTCCTGTTGTTTTAGGCTCAGCTGTCCAAAAAAAGTCCTGCGGACCAATAAGTGGGTTGGATGGGTGGGCAGCTGAAAGTTTCACGGTTCCCTCCCTTTAAAAAGTCTGATTCAGGTTGCCGTTGTTTCACATGCAGCTAAAGGAGCGGGACGTGAGAAGAGCCCAGTTTGCCGATGCAGTGTACACTCACAGAGACTGGGAAGAGATCATTGGCAGGTTTCCACATATGTGGATGAAGAAGCACTGTGGCAATCCAAAACTGAGGTCTGATTACTCACCCATTTTGGCTTGGCATATTTGGATGTGTCAAAGAGTAAAGCTGATAACTGTTGGAGAAGAAGAACAACACAGCAGAAGGCCAGAGAAACAGACAGCCTAACAGAGGGAGTTCCTGAAGACGAAGTGAAGAAGGAAAATTCTAAGAAAGAAGCAGAGGGGGAGTGGAGAGAGACATATTGAAGAAAAGAGAATCACTGGAAATATTCAGAGGGGTGAAGTATAGGAAGTCTCGTAAAGGAGAGAGAAGACAGAAGAAAAACGTGGCCAAGCATGAGAGAGGAGGAGCAGTCTAATGATGACCACCCTGAAGGAGGGCTGGTTTCCAGCGAGGAAAACACGGGACGACCAGCTTCTAACGCCTGTCCCGTCGTTGTTGCAACACCGGGGGTCACCGGGCATAAAAGGCAGACAGGCTCACATAAGGTGGATCACGTTACCACAGTTACTCCCCCAACATCAGCAGACGATGGCAAGGTCAAGACAGGGGACGACATCCAGATCTACACACCGATTGGACCCAAAAGACTCAAGCGGAGTCCTCAACATCGGCCGCCTTCCTCGGGGCCGTCCCTATCTCCTGGCCCTGGTACAAGTCCTGGAGGTCTCTCAGCACTTGAGGACCCACACGGCCAGCGGGTGATTGCTAACATCCGGGAGCGCCAGCGGACACAATCTTTAAATGAAGCCTTTGCCTCGTTGCGTAAGATAATCCCAACGCTTCCCTCTGACAAGCTGAGCAAGATCCAGACACTTAAATTGGCATCACGCTACATTGACTTTCTGTACCAGGTTCTACAGAGCGATGATATGGACACTAAGCTGGCTGGGTGTAACTACCTGGCCCATGAGAGACTGAGCTACGCCTTCTCTGTCTGGAGGATGGAGGGGGCCTGGTCAACCATGTCTGCTGGACACTAGCCCCCCCCCCCCCCCCCCCCCCGAAAGAAAGGTTTGTCTTTTGACTTTGGCGTAAACAAATGATGAATTTCCTCATGACAGGGAAATATTCGTACTTGATATAGAGGGCTAAGGAGACGTCTGATCTGTGTCTGCTCACCAGAGGACTCACACTATTTAACATCTCAACGTAGATCATCTGTTTGCCTCAATCATGACTGAAAGACTATGATGAGAAGAGATTTTGACAGTTTGTTACATAAGCAGACCTGATTTTTAAGCCACTTCTCCTTCATGAAAATTGTAGTTTGAATTGTTGTTAAGCGACATATCAGATGTAACTATGGATTCTTTGGATTCTATTGTTTTGCTTGCCAAAAGCAGCTATTACTGCTCATGGCTGCCAATGATAGTATTCAAGAAATGTATCAGAACAAGGACATTGTGCTCAGTGTATGATTTCTAGACATTTGCACTTTGTCTACATAGATCACAATGGAGGACAGGACAGGCAAGGGACAAAAAACAGCTGGACATAATTATATATTCATTCAATTCAACAACCTGATGGTGAAGGACGCCCTGTCCTACATGCCTCCATGTGACAGCATGGCTCATTCTGCTGAAGCCCTTTGACCCATTGGCTTTCTCGAGTTCTGAAGCTTGACCTGTGGTTTCATCTTCATCATCACCTTTGATTTTATCATCATAACTGCCATCAGTATCAACATCACCTTTACTATCGTCATCATCATAGGTATGCATACTTTGAGCCACATTTGAACTTTATTACATATTTTTATTTAACTTTATTTCTGCCTTAGGCTAGCAAGTCTACAAGGTTTTGTATGAGGAGAAACAACTAGAGAATGCAGTGGAAGGACTAGAAGAAAGTCAGAGCTGAAAAGACAAAAATGTTTAAAGAGAGGTTGGACCTTTGACTTTTCCGTACCCCGTACTCAATTCTTTCTTTTCCGAGACTCTGACATATTATGAATCCCTGACCACCTCTGAACCCAAGCAACGGTGGAAAAAGTAGCCGCGGGCAGCCGTCGTCCTGACTTAAGTTTCTCCTCTTTATACCCAAACCAAGCCCCTTTGTTTCTTCTAGTGCCAAAAAAACTCTCCTCTTGAAATTCTTTCCTCTCATTCTGGCCCAAATTTGCTTGCGTTGCACGAAACTGTGATGCAGCTACAGCAAGCTGACGAGAAGGCGTAATGAAAACAAACGGTCCCTAAGAGCCATGAATCATGTGTGTCACCATCAAAGGGAAGGCTGATGTGGCTCCCTGCTGGGCTCCCATAAACCACTGGAAGTGATGGAGGAGGTGAGAGTGGATTTATACACACACACAAATATGCACACATGCATAGGTGTAGCTGTGCACACACAGCCATGCACGAAAACACACTTCCCCCAACGTCTTGGGTTTGAAAGAAAACCATTTTCTTTAAAAGTCAACATACATAATTAGCTACATACAATAAAGCAACAATAAAGTCAGGTTTGTATTATTATTATTATATCACAGGTTTTTGTCTTGCATGAAAGAGAACTAATGAACATCACCTGCAAGGTGTAGCTTTCATTTCATATAAACAACAACTCCAAAGAGATGGAGGTTGACATGCTATTTGTATTTGATACATATCCATGACAAACCACTTCTTCCTTCATTGCCAATGTGCATGAAGCCCAGCAACCTATCATTAGAATGTCCCAGGGAGGTTGCTAATGTTTCCAGCTCCTATGAAGACCTATGAAGTCTTTCACTGAGCCCCACAGTCAGCACAGTGTGGTCTCAGAGGGCTAACATTCACTGACATGTTAGAAGACACTTGACATTTCAAAAGAATTCAGTTTGCGGCCAAAAGAGAAAAGCAGCCCCTGTGCATTTTGAATATAAAATTAGAGCGGCTGGCCTCAAGAATCAGAGAGAGGATTTTTGAGTGCACATTTCATACAGAATATGACTAATTATTTAGACAGAATGACAGCTATTTATTTGTATCCAACTTTTTTTATAGCTAATTTGGCAACAACAATTACAGAAGTGCATTTGTACTAACCCCTATTTATGTCAGTACCGTTCCCTTACATCCCCCTTGTATGATCTCAAGTCGTATTCTGACTTCTGACTATATTGGGATATATTAGGATATGTTACAAATGTGTCCAATGTTAAATGAATATAAGTGGTTAGCACAGTAATGTGTCTGCCTTTTTGTCTTTCCAGCTGCTGAATAAAGTGACCCATGCTACCATTTCTACCACTCTAATCACATGGACTTGGATGCAAAAGGAACTTTTTAGGTTCCTCACTTTTGAAGAAAACAACTTTGAAGAATATTAAAAGGCAAGATCAAGATGCAGACTGACTTTTCTCTGAACCAACAAATGTATCAAGAAGAAATTGACAATACAGGTCAGGACGGACCAGTGTTTGTGTTTCATACTATTTTTCCTGCAGGTAATGCGAGACTTGGACAGTGATTAGTGTGTTTTCCTGTTGTGTGCCAGTTTACCGACAGAGAGTGAGGCTTTGTCTTTTTAGGAGCATTTACTTGAAGTATACACAGTGTGGTGCTTTACACTGATGCAGTATTACTGATATAAATATCAGTCTTGTGATATAAATATCGCAAGCAGAAAAATCCCTGGGTAGTTAGATGTAGTGATACATACAGCACGTGTATCATTATTTGTCTGAAAAATAAAACAGTCCTCAAACTATTCATGAGAATCTTGTTGTTTTGGTAAAAGTGGATGATGAACGGTGCAAGGATTTACACTGGCACCACACCCTCTTTGTCTCCCGTCTCTCTTGTTAAACTGTCTCTCTTGTTTTCCCTTACTTCCCCCGGTCTTTTTTTTTTAATGAGGTCTGTGTGCCTTTGCCTGGTCAGTCAGGAACAGTTAATTCCTCCAGAAAGAACACGTTAATGCGCAATTAAGGCCTCTGGGAATATTTATAGCCTGTTTGGACCCAAGTTCTAAGTTGTAGCTTGATCTTTTCAGTTATGGTACAGTGGCGAGAATTAAAGCATTAAAGCTTTCACACAGCGCAGAGTAAACTTTAAAAAAGGGTTAACACTAAACAGGAACATAGATACAGTATGGCAACCACAAACTGATCATGATTTCAAGAGATTTTTAGAGACCTTTAATAGTCTCTTTTGCTGTGGGTTTACAGAGACAAACGAGGAAAATTTTAATATTTATATGGTTTGAATTAGATTACCATTACATTCAATGCTGAGCTATGAATGGTGCTCTGTTCTTCCCTTCCTCAAAAACACAAAAGCATGGAAAGTGGTTTGCAGTAATGTGCAGTATAGGTGAGTTTTCAGCAAATGGGTAAAAACGTGCAAAACCAGCAGTGCAGCTAGTTAATGGCTCAGCTCACACACACACACACACACACACACACACACTCAGTTGTGCTGATTAGAACTCTGTTTAAGTGTAATGTAATTACCTGATGCCACCAAGCCGTGCACTATAGAAAGGTAGAGGTGTAAATTGTCCCGAATTAACAGGTGCAACAAAGCTAACAGCAGAGTGAGGGAGATGTCAATCAAACAATCTGCTCACACCCTCGCAGTCCTGAGGAAAGGTCTATCCAAGCTCAGCAAGTGAACCACGACTGTGTAAGAGTCTTAAACTCTTGTCTGTAACCATGCCAATGTTGTGTCAGGTCTGGTAGCCCTGCTGGTTTATAGGGAAGTCTCCTTAATAATATTCTGTGCTGAAATTCCGTTGTATAGCTCAGATTTAAAAAAGATTCCCTGCCGGATATGTTACATACAATATTGATAAGGTTGTCTTTCTGCCTCTTTGCAAGTAAACCTTTCAAACCTAAGTTATATATCGTCTGCTCATTGACAAAGTGCAGTTTCAGTTCACAGACCTGAGACGTTTTCTCCTTCTGTGGATACAGGTTGTTGTCATCTGACTGCTGATCACTTGAGGATTTCATAGCTGGGATCAGTGCTGCATCAACGTCATGTGGAATGAAATATGTGGTCATGTGCAATGAAATATGTGGTCATGTGCATTCACGTCATTTAAAGCTCACATAGTCACAAAATAATTAGATGTCAGAAATGTAGTTTTTCCAGGCATTATTTTTAGTAGTTTCTCCGAACTCAGCCAGTTCGAAGCTACTTTTAAACTAAGGATGTTTTGTGGCTACCCCACAATTTAAAAGCCAGAACCTACTCATTACAGTAACTCTGATATGCATGAATATCTCATTAAGATAAATGACATAAACAGCATTAGCTAGGTAATAGCACCATAGCAAAACACTAGTTTGTGATAACCAGCTTTTCAAGCTCGATATTAAGAAGATGCCTTAATGTGTTGTCCTAGTTTGCTATATCTGGCATTAAAGTAAATCTACTGGATAACAGCGTTAAACAGCTGGAATTGATTGATGGCAGCTATCAATCAGTGTACTCTGAACCAGGTGGCTGGTCCCTGCCCTGTCAGTGGTACCTAAAAAAGTAATGTTAAATCTTTATTCAGGTCTTAAACCTGAGTAAAGATAAAGAACTAAAGATTTAACATTATTTTTATTTCTAATACATGCCTTCCTTGGTAAAAAATATGCCCCGTTCATTTCCTCACCAATTTAAAAGAAAAATCCTGTCAGGCCAGGCATTTGTAGATTCACAGCTTTGCAACAGATACGTTTAATTGATCTGAAACAGTTCTAACATGATCATTTGCTCAACATTTGCAAATATCTGTAAATCCCATCTGGTAATATTCTTTTTTTATATAGTTGCTGATATCATTTTGACAATCTAAAGGTCCAGTGTGTAACATGTAGAAAGATCTATTGGCACAAATGGAATATAATATCCATGTAGGTATGTTAGTGTATAGACACCTAAACATAGAAACCATTGTGTTTTCGTTACCTTAGAATGAGCCGTTTTTATTAACAGATGCTGCAGGTCACCTTCCGTGGAGTCCACAATGTTGTTGGACAAACCAAACACTGGCTCTAGATAGGACCTTTTGGGGTTTTTCACATCCACGTTAATTTCTCCTACACACTTCACAGCCCGTTCTTATTCCCAGGTCGTCAAGTACAGATGCGAGCAGTGTTCAGTTAGTTACAATTTGCAACTTCACCGTTAGATGCCACTGAATCCTACACACTGGTCTTTTAAGCTTTCCTTGTCATTCAATGAATAATTTAGAAGAAAATAGAATACATTTTATATTAATTCATGCCCAGGCAAACACAAGCTCGTATAATGTTGGGACAAATAGACCAGACAAAGATGGGCTTATACTGGAAATGATTTTTTTTTAATCAAGAGGAAAAGACAAAAATAACAGTACAAAATAGACAATCTTTCTATACATACACATGGTAGGAAATGTGAAGGAAAAATAACACATGTAGGTAAATACTAAAGAATAGCATGAAACAAAGATTTCAATGTCATGTTTATAGATACAGAGTTACTGTAAGTCCAGTTAGTTAAGAGTTACCAATACACATACTACTGAATGCATCAAGGCACATGTGTGTCGTGTGTATTTTGGTCTTGGAGTTTCTATTTACAATGTCTTTCTTTAAGAAGAAGGTACAAATGACATCAGTAATAAAGGGAAATAAGAGTTGAGGCAATACTGGCCTCTACATAGGACAAAATACAGCCACTGGGAATATAATACAGGAGAGGTCATTTACAGTCTTTGACGGACATACACACAAACATACCAACATTTGCATGCACAAAACACGTGGCAGAGGTCTACATGTACTAGTGCACATGCAATCACCAACCACTCTCTCTCTCTCTCACACACACACACACACACACATCAGACAACATTTACTTCATAGACACCACATGCACCTGCTGGGCATGCTGTATAAAAGGAGACACAGCATTTAGTTTAAATGCCGTCACTTGCCGTTAAGAATACTATGAACAACACTAAATGAATGTGACCCATTACAGAAAACCAATCCTCCATGCAACATTTCCTTAATAATTCCTACTGGGATGGAGCAGTAGTGCAACAGCAGTGGGACTTCTGGGACTTTTGGTTTTCACCGCCCTCTTGTTTAATATAAAAGCACTGAGGCCTTCGGTTGGGCAGACAATGCCCAGGGTCTGACTAAAGCAAACTGAACACACACACTTTCCTACCTGAACTGACAAAACTTCCTTCAGCCAGTCAAATCAACTTGTTCTACTTTCAATCTAGATTTTACATAAGCTGCATTCACACACAAACACCTAATCAAGTCTCACTGTATCAAATCTTTGCCAACAAGAGTAAAAGAAAAAAATCAGATTGTGCTGCTTTAAATCCAATCATGGATGTAAAAACTCAAAGGAAAGCTCTAGAGCAACAACGCTCAGACAAAGCCATGTAAGGGGCGGCCGACGGTCAAAATCTGAATGTCATTAGTCTCAGTTTAATTGGACAGTTTTAGTGTCTAGATGCTTTTTAGAAGCTTTAACACCCTAAAACAATAAAAGACTGAAATAAACAGAACTGTGGTTTATTTTGGCCACCAATGTAATTACTCAGACTCATCTATCTGCAGCTCTAATCTAAAAACATTAGTATTGGTCATCAAAAGCCTAAACAGAGCAAACCTAGTGTGCATGAAAAAAGCACCATCAACAAGCTTTAGTTTGCTACACAATAAGCTCCAAACCAAGAAACATGATCTTGTTATTTTTTACTTTTGGAATGCAGAGCCCTAAGATGCCCGTATATCAGGGCAGTCAGGAAATTCTTCACATGAATCAGCATCATGACCTCTACTTCAAACGTCAGCTTAGATGACAGACTGACATTGACAAGAAGAGCTGCAGAGAAAAAACACTCACTTCCAAACAAAACACAATGTGTTAGTTTCCTTAATAAGACTGTGATAAAGCCTGGAACTCCAAAACTGATTTTTTTTATTTTTTTTATGATGATGATGATGAAAGCATTCAAACCAGACCAGGCCACTGTACTCATCATCAAAACAAACGGTAAATAAAAGTCTGCATATACGATGTTCACCTAAATCCACAGGTTCAAACGTCGTCTTATCAAAGAAGAGTCACTGTACGAGTAGTATCCATACTGGTCCCTTGTGTTGCTTCCATACAGTCCCGTCGCCAAGTGCAGGCTATTTTAAGGCAGTTTTCTTTGGGTGATGTCCATTAAGTGCATTAACATTATTGCTACTATAGAACAATACAATGGTCCTCAGTGGTGCCACGGTGGAATGAACGCCCCTTTAGTCTCAAATATAAACAATAATATACAGTATTCAATACTAGTGGTACATCAATAGTTCATCATTGCTTTGTACATGTGTTTGTGTAGGTGTGTATAAATGTATGTGTGTGCATCTAAGACACTGAACAGCAGTGAAAAATAATCCTGCTCTTAAAATCTTGCCTACTTTTCAGATTAACTTCATAGGAAATACAATACAGTATTTCGGCTGACACGTGTCCACAGAGTGAGTCAGAGACTTCGTAAGACATCTCAGATGAAGAGTGGGAAAAGTATAGCCAACGCTATTTCATCCAAATCTTCAAAAAACTATTAAATAAACTACAGAGTTGTTTTTTATTTCCCAGAGTTTTGGAATTTCTTATGGTTCACATTATGGAATGAACAGTGCAATAAAACAACAAGGACATTTGCCCCTTCTTTGTTTCTACAAAACCACAGTTGTCCATTTTGTGTCTTCATTTTCTTTCCCTCAAGTTCTTTGTTGTCTTCTTTTAGTGGTTAAACTGCATATAATGACATCATTAAAACAGACAATCTCTGTGTCTTTTTTTTTCTCTTTGTAATGTGACCACCTCTTGTTGATATTTTTGCATCTTATCCATCAGGTATATGCGTATATGCTTTCAACTGATGTTGTAGGTTCAATCTGCGTCAGCCATTTTGCATCCCGTTTGGTCTGCATTTGCTTCGACTGTGATATGGGAAGCAAAGTGGCAGAGGAGCAAGGAATATATAATCCAAAGTCTCCCCCTTCTGAAACCTGATGTTGGTCCTTACGTTAAGGCAAAGTTAAGGCAACAAAACAGCCTGCTGGTACATAGTGCTTCAAGAAGAATCAGAACTGGACTCTGCATCTGAAGTCTGTCTGTTCTTCTAAGGTTTGTGGTCACAGAGCTGTGCTACTGGACCTCTGAACACACACACAAAATCCAAAGTCAGTCAGGAGATGTGAAAAGTCTATTAAAAATTGTCTGGTATTGCTCTTTGGTGAGGTTTCAGAAGGTTTCCCAGTTGCAGGTAGTGCTGCTGGCTGCTGAGTGGTTACCAGCACTGAGGTGCTAATACGGCAGCTCTGTCGAGGTTCAGCATGGTGTGTTGGTGCATGTGAATGTGTGTGAATAAGGCAGACGAGTGGGGCTCAGTGGCATTAAAAAACACGTCCCCTTCATGGTCATGTGACAGCGCGGGAGATCCAAGGCTACAGGTGCGGCCCGAATCCTTAAAGTGAGTTCTGTGAGGTGATTGGTCGGATTCTTCTACATGGAGTCACTGTCATGCTCCATTGGCTCGTCGGGGAGGCTGGAGGAGAGGGTGAAAACCAGACGTAAGTGGAGAGCTGGAAGAGTTAGTGCCAACGTGAAAGTGTGATTTTTGTTTTTACTTCATTATGACTTTGTGTGTGTGTGTG